TTTCTGCGGTCTGGGCCAACTTCGACGATAATGGCTGCTATAGCACCATGCTGTGCTATAACACTAATTTGTCAGCTCCAATCCGCGTTTGAGTAGAAAGTGTGTACCTGTGAAGCGGTGGCATTGCCTTTGGGGTGGAAATCGTCGCACTACTCATACCCTCCGTCTGCAAAGAGGTGGATCGGTGAATTTGGAGTCGTGCCGAGGGTGAGAAGGAGGGCGAGAGTTGGTCAGTATCCCAGTCGCTAATATCCTCAAGATCGTCAAGATCGAATGAACTCTCAGTAGTAGTAGCCAGATTCGGGTTGGGAAGTCCTGGAGACATGCAAACGGTGCTAAAATGGAGAATTGGAGTGACAAGGTATGCAGTGAGAATGGAGTGAAGTGAGAGAAGGTTTTCAAAGCGTACCTTCACAGAAAGCTGGGCCCTGACGAGAATGGCACGTGGAGGAAGGAGCGGCCAGCTGTCGCGGAAAGGATGTCGGTAGTGCAAACAATTTTTGAACATGAATTAGATATGACGTGGCTAACATAAGAGCCATCATATGACAAGTAATAGACAGCCAAAATGCAGAGTTGGCAAAGACATGATCCGAAAACGACAGAAATCTGCAATGGATCGCACTAGAGCGCTTCACGCCATGGTATAAGATCCCTCCCAAGTATTCAATGCAACGCCCAAAACAAACAGAAGCAGCCATTAAAGAGAGCATGCAAGTATCATCTAGTCGAGGACAACGGCAAGGATGATGATGACCAAAACAATAGCGAGGATAAGCAAAAGAATGCACGCCTTACTCCTCGCACTCTTCTGGTAGTTGCTCGCCTGCTTGAGGTTCACGTGTGCACCTCTCGACGCGTCGTGAGTAGTCTCGACGTTCTCTTCGATGATGTCGAGTTGAGCTCCCTGCTCGTGCACCATATGCGCCACATCGCGGAAGAGTTCGTTCAGCTCGCCGACTGACTGCTCGATGTTGCGGATCTCGGATTCACGCTCAATGATCATGGATTCCTGGAAGTCGACCTCATCCTGGTTTGCCAAGCGCAGCTGCTCCTGCTCTTGTTGTTGCCCGAACTCCCCTCCCCGCTCTTCGCTTGGCGATGATACGTCTTGCAGGGCAGTGCGTGCCGCTTGTGCCGATTGCTTCTCTTTCTCTAGCGCTTGCTTCTGTAGGTGTTGGAACTCGGTGAGCGAGGCTTTGAATTCGCGCTGGAGCTTCGACTGCGTAAACTTTTGCGATGGCTGTTCCCGTTAGCTACTGTCTTCCATCCCAAGAGCTGTGCATCCATACTCCGACATCAGGCCAGGTTGTAATCTTCTTCAATCCCTCTCCGAGCTCTTTGAATTTATCCGATGTCTCCTCAACGGTGGTCTTCACGCGCTCGCGCACGCGGGCTGTCTCGTGCTTGGTTCCTAGCTTGGCGGTCTCTTGCGACAGACGGGCAACATTACGAGTCAATGCGAAGAGGTCATCGGAAAGCTTGTCAGCGAAATCGCGGAACTCTGGGTCATCGGCGTAAGACGCATCGTCTTCCCTTCGCCATGTTGTGGGTTGCGATTCGAGGGCGCTGGAGCGTTGAAACGACATGTTGTCGGATAAGGAGGAAGACACTGGCTATTTCCAACAAAACTATCAAGATGATGTGTGAAGCTGTGCGATCGTGTGTATAGCTACGGCAGCCTGGTGCAGAGGTTCAATCGTGGTTACCTGGAGGTTGGTTGCTCGGTGGTTCCTGCGGCGATGACGAAGGACCGCGGCTAAGGGCACATGGCACAAGGCACAGGCGGGTGTCCCTTATGTAAGCATGCATCTGTCGGCGACGAAGTGGTAGCTCCGCCGATCAACAATGTTTGTTTGAACAAAGTCGGGCGCCTTCACTGCTGCTGAGGTACTCCACACTACAGTACCAGCGCGTTCGATCGATTATTGGCGCGACGCCATCTTTTTGCTTCTTTGCTATGATATAGCCAGTTCCTCACTCATACGCTCTCTCACCGCAAATCGTTCGCAAACATGGCGCTCGCACCGCTTGGAACCCAAGTGCGCCCATACAGGGACTACCTGACGCCAGCGCTGCACCGAAGATTCAACAAGGCCAGTCGCTATACGCTGCTGCTATGCTATGCGATTGCGTGCTGGATGGGAGAATGGAATAACCGTGAGATGTACTGGAGGAGTGTTGAAGATATCCACTAACTCTACACAGTGCTATGGCTATGGTTTCCATTAGGCCTTACTGGCATTCGAACCCTCCTAATCTTCCTCTCCGCCCTTACCATCTACGTCCTTCGCGTTGCTCAGTGGCATGTTGGCCGGCGCCAAACACAGACCCGAGCGGAAACATTCACGAAGTACTTCTTCCGTCCCGCGACACTGGTCACGCTCATCGCCTATTCTTTCTCTGCCATGATGTTTGTAGAGACGTATATCTGGTCGCGGGGTACCAAGGACAGACTCAACTTCATCGAGGCGGGCCGCATGCACGAGCGATTCCGACTGAACGAGAGGCCGCTTTACCTGCGTTATCTCTTTTACGTCCTGGCAGCAGCACAGTCTGGAATACACTTGTGGAGGGACTATGACAAGATCGAGGTACAAGCTATGAAGCCCAAGAAGGAGCGGGGTGACGCGGCAGCTGCAACACCCACGCGACGAGCACCCAAGCCGAGAAATGTCCTTTTCAAACAGCTCAAGGGCATTGCGACCCTATCGAGCTCTCTGGCTTCGGTCATCGCTCTTGTCGGATTTGCCCTCTACTTTATTGGAACCCGCAACCTGATCTGGAGCTACTATTACAGCTTTGGTCGATACCTCTGGAGCTTGTCCAAGACTTCCACGCCGACCGGGCTCGCACCGTTTCTGCCTCTGTGCTTCATGTTCATCACAGAAGGAATCCTGCTGGTCGTGATTTGGGAGTTTGTCAACAAGACCTTCGACGTGTACATTGCGCAAGAACCATTGAAGAACGATGTACCTATCACGAACGACTCCACAGATCCCAATGGATCTCTCTTGAATGGACTCAAGTCGAAGAAGGACACTGTCAGGGTAAGACAAAAGCCGTTCAATCAGGTCGTTCATTACTAACGCATCCAGGCCATTGCTTTCTGGGAACTAGCCCTTATAACGGACGCCTTCCCCGATCGCCGCAAGACTATCTACAGCGAAATGGAACGTAAGAAGGCACCGACACACCAGCAAGTTACAGATCTTTGTCTGGGAGAACTCAAATTCCTTGTCGATCGTGTCAGCGTTGGCCTTGATCCCGCCTACCAGCCTAGCAGCGGATCTGGCCAGGACCAGCCAGCCGGACCTGTCAGCTTGGTGCCTCGCATTGCACAACCGCTCAAGGACGATAAGCCGATATCTGCTGCCCCACCAAAACCGAACACTAGATGGGAACATATCGAGGCAACAACAGCCAGCATTGCAAAGTCACATAGCGCCCCTGGGAACGCACAGCAAGCATACAGTCGTGAAGCTATCAACAGGGGAGTGAAGAAGGCTCAAGAAGGTGCCAAGGAGGCTGAATCATTCTTCACGACGTACTACAACAAGCTTGTCTCTTCCCCAGTCGGCGTGCTGTTCCAACATTCCTTCCAACGGACAGCAAACATCGTTGTTCTCGGCGCACCTTACTCTCAGCTTTCTCGAGTCTGCAATGCCGCAACTGCTCTGACAAATCTTGCCGTATTTTCACTGGCTGAAGACAGTATGGGTCGCTTCCATCAAGGGATTCCGAGCATAGTACGTGTATTCACTATTGCGCTCAAGAAGATCGATGAGTATATGGAAGTAGCTCCTATTCATTCGAGTGACATTGAGACGCTCAACAAGCCGGAGGCGGAGAGGAAGAAGGTTCCCGAAGTAGACGAAGCCAGGGAGTGTCTCAGAGAAGGCCTTGAGAAGATCCTCGGTAGCTTCAATGAGTACCTGGGTGGTATGGGACTGAGTAAGCTGGAGATCATGGATGCAAAGAAGATTGTGGGTGTTAAGAAGGCACCGGAGATGATTCAAGCGGCTGCCAAACAGTAGTAGTCAGTTCTCTGAATGACCGACCTGTAAGAATATACGAACGAACCCGAAAGAACGATGATATCATATAATGTCTTCAATTGCTATTGCTACTGAATCAACATGTTTTCTCTTGCAGACAGACGCATCAGCAAAATGCCATGTTCCGTAGAGAGACGCGTCGGCTCCACCCATTCAGGTGCACATCGCATAAGCCAAGCCAAGCCCAGCTCCCATCGCAAACTGATCATCTATCTCCATCAACAAATCAAACAGTGCGAACCCAGCATCCCCCAATTGGGAAAATGCCACATGCGATAAGATTGCAACATCATGCAGCTGTCATTGGTCGTGTCTGACATGAGCTCGCTGTTTCAAACAACGTTCGTCCCAGGGGTAAATACGGTAGCGCCCCACACTAAACTCCGTTATGCGCGTCCTCCGCATCGATATCGTTACCCTTTGTGAGAGCCAAGGACGTCATGTTGGATGAGGCTTACCTTGGTGGAGGCGCGAGCTGGAAGAGGATGGGTTGGTGGCTTTTCTGTTCCTGCACTCTTTCCTCCATTCTGTTCTCTTCCATTTCGTTGTCGTCGTTGTTCTTGTTACGATAACTTGGGATTGCCGTGGCGTTGGAAGGGCAGCACGTTTACCCTTGGACGATCACCCGCATTTACGCTTTGGACTATCTTTTCAGCCGAGAGTCTTACCTTGGTGCTGTTCGTTGAGGCGGATTCTGTATATTCTTTATTTCTTCTTCTTGTCTATCCATTTACTGCGCCTTATTACATTGGAACCTGACGATCGGATTGCAAGCGCCCAAGGCTGCCAACGAACGGGACGCGCCAAACATCGACTCATAAGGATTGCTCGTAATCAGCTTTCATACCTGATCTCCGCAAGAGTATCCAGCGGGAGGACCTACAATTCCAGAAATAAAAGCATTGAGGAGCTCAGACTTTCGGCATCGACGTCACCAACACGATGCACACCTCACTACCAACGTGGCTCGCGCTCTCAGCAGCAATCCTACCTACAGCAACGGCCTTCTACCCGTACCACTACCCCGCAAGCAAGACCTCTACCACATCTCGCTCGCATCGAACCTCCCCACAGCCCTCCCACGATGAGAACACGCGTTCCGTAACAGTCCCTTTGCGTCGCGTGCGCACGCCTCTACATGCGCGCCAAAACGTCTACAACATCGTCAATTCGAACAACCCAACCCAAGAGAACAGCGTAGCCATAGACCAAGATGGCAGTGATCTCAGCTACATGGTGGCCGTAACGTTCGGTGACAGCTCAGACGAATACCATATGTTGCTCGATTCGGCAGCGAGTAATACCTGGGTCATGGGGCAAGATTGTGGGAGCGAAGCGTGTAAGACGCATGCTACATTCGGGACAGGAGATTCAAGTACACTAAAGGTAAGTTTCAAGGTTTCTTCCTAGATGTCTCTTATCAAGGCCTGGAGATGAATGCTCACCCAATCTTTAGACCGACGAAACCACACCCTTCAGCGTGACCTACGGCACAGGTACCTCTTCAGGTCATCTAGCAACCGATACCCTCCACATCGGCACCTCCCTCTCCGTCTCCCTCACCTTCGGCCTCGCAACAAACGTGTCCGACGAGTTTCGAGCATATCCCATGGACGGCATCCTAGGCATCGGCCGCGGCACACAAGGTGCCAGTACAACAGATGAAATTGCTGCTACCCAAATCATGGATATCTTGTCCTCGCAGAAACTCATCGGTGCGAAAATGTACGGTATCCACCTCTCCCGAGACACCGACGGTAAACTGGACGGCGAGTTGAACTTGGGCGAGGTGAACAAAGAGAGATTTAGTGGGGAGTTGAATTACCTAGATTGCATGGATAATGAATCTGGGTTCTGGGAGGTACCTTTACAAGACGCTGGGGTTGATGGCTCCTCTGCCAATCTCACCACGGGAAGTACCAACAGGACGGCGATTATGGACACTGGAACGAGTTTCATACTCATTCCTGAACCTGATGCTCTGGCCATCCATAGCAAGGTCGAGGGCTTCGAGCAGGATGGTGAGACGTTCTTTGTCCCTTGCGACACAAAGGCTGTGGTGCAGTTTACTTTCAACAATCGCATCTATAACATTTCCACGGCGGATTGGGTGGGAGATAAGGATGATGATTCTGCTTTGTGCAGGAGTAATATTGTAGGCAGGAAAACTTTTGGGGACGCGCAGTGGCTGGTTGGCGACGTGTTCCTGAAGAATGTGTATAGTGTTTTTGATTTCGAGAAGAGTAGGGTAGGCTTGGGTGTTCTGGGTGACGAACAGTTGGTTGCGGGGACGGAGAGCGTGAGCTCTACAGGTATGTTTGAACTTGTTTCTTTTGATTATAGTAGTGACAATTGCTGACTTGGTTTCAATAGGTGTTGCGTCTCCTTCGGGATCGAGGACAGCAGCTGAGACTGGAGGAGCCAGTTCGACATCTGTGGGTGGTGGCCAGCCTCAGAATCAGCAAGGCGGTGCTGCTGCTCGGTCTTCATCTTCTCTCCTCCTATTCATTGGAGCATCTACAGCGGTTTCAATGTTCATATAGCATCTGGCATATATATACGGATAGCATTTCTAGCACGGCGTTTAGGGACAGAGCATCATCGGATCAGCATAGCTATGCTCCAGGAAGGATTCAGGGAGCAGCATAAGAGCACAGTGTAGAAACTTGTACACTCTATCATATTTGGTACACATCTATTCATATATAGAATACTGTACAGCAGCAATACACTTTCCCGTCCACTCGGCTTCCAGCCGAAGTGGTGGCCTGATCCCATGACATCTCCACTTACCGCCTTATCCACCGGCCCAAATCAAGACCAAGCAGATGCAGGAAGCTCGAGGCGAGAAAGCGGGGCGGTTCATCGGAACGACGTATCCGAGCATTGAGGATTAGAGACAATCATGGTACGTGATGCATGCATAAGATGGAGTGTTATGTGGAGGCCAAGGTGGGAACGAGTCAGTAGAGATATGCAGTCTTTGATGCGAGATAAGGGCAGATGATGGGCGTGTTTCAGCCTGTTATTGCCGTGGCTGCGACGTCAGTTTGACTTATCCGAGAGGTTCGTGAGTCTTCACGGCAGTGCAGCATGGGAATGTAGCGTCAAGTCAAGTCACGGTGGATATCTTCATAAACCCAGCTCAACGATTGGTATGGGTAGACACGATAAGAGCAAAACAAAGCACCGGTTATTAGAAAGATCCTACCATTTGCTCAATCTCGATCCACACGCTCTGAGAAGATAACCCCATCATGAACTACCCCAAGATGATGTACGGTCCAAACACAAAAGATCCAGCACAGTAACGCCTCGTATAGGTGCCGTCAGAGATGGACTGCAAGCAGACTGGAGGAGTCGACTCGTCTGCTACCCCTACCGGCCCATGACATGTTGCCCTTCCTTCTCAAATAGACCACTATTAGACACCCGATAGCCGCCACAGTGTTGCTCTTGGCCAGGCTCAACATCGCGCGGTTGCGGCGGCTTTCGACCTATATCGTCGCAAAGTCTTGTCCAAGCTTACAAGATCAAGCACTTCTTGGTCTTCTTCTCTTTCCGGGTCAACAGAGCAGCCCGGGTGGCGTGCTCGAATACTTCTCGGACGCCCTCGTTCGTCTTGGCCGAGCACTCGAGGTACTTCTGGGCACCAATCTTCTTGCGCACATCCTCGGCCTGGTCACGTTAGTGTGGATACGGTAGATGGAGTGTGGCTACTGACCTGCTCGGGTGTCACGGGCTTCTGCGAGGTCTTGTGTAGCTCCTCAATCGTCTTCTGGTCGAAGCGCAGATCCTTCTTACATCCAACGAGGATGATGGGAAGGCCCTGGCAGAAGTGCAGAACCTCGGAGATCCACTGTTGTTTGTTAGTCGGTGCTGTTTGGACGCGCGTGAGACATGTCTCGTACCTTCTCCTGGACGTTGTCAAGCGAATCGGGCGAGTCGATGGCGAAGCAGATGAGGATAACGTGCGAGTCGGGGTAGGAGAGAGGGCGGAGACGGTCGTAATCTTCCTGGCCAGCGGTATCCCAAAGGGCGAGCTCGACGTGCTTGCCGTCAACCTCTACATCGGCGACGTAGTTCTCGAAGACGGTGGGGACGTAGACCTGCACGGCAGCGTGTTAGTAGGGGCGTTGTGGAGTCGGATGGCAGAGATGGGTGCGCTGTGGATGCGGACCAGCTACTAGGCTGACGCGGCTCAGGGATGCCAGGCGAGGCGGCGAGTGGTGAGTACTAACCTCGGGGAAAGTGCCCTTGGAGAAGACGCTGTAGAGGGCGGCGTTAGCAATCGCGGACTCGTGTGCAGAGAGGTTGAGGCCATGGATGGGGCGCTTGGTTGGTTGGGGACGTACATGAGCAGACAGGTCTTTCCACAGGCGCCGTCACCGACAATAACGAGCTTTCGTCGAATCTCGGCCATGGTGTCGTGTGTGATGGGGTTATTGAGGACGGCGGTGGGTTGAGCAAGTCTGTTATGGAGGTGGTGAGTATTTGGATGGAGGACTGGCGGTGATTGAAGTTGGAGAACAGCGGCTTCAGGGTGTTATGGCTCTAGGCACCATGGCCGCAACGGGGGTCGTGCTGCAACAACTGCGGCTGAGTGCTGCTTGCGCCACGCAGCGCTTCGGCGATTGCGGCCTAGCGGGCGGACAAGGAGAGTGAATGTGACGTACCTGGACAGCTGCTCTGTTGAAAATCACGTAAAGGGTTTGTGCAGCGTCGTCGCGATGGGATGTAGGTTGGCCGAGAGAAGAGGAGAAGGTGCGATTAGCTATCTGCATCAAGCGCCTTGCTACTAACCGACATGGTAAACTACCCATGCACACGCCCCCGGAGCCCGTCACATGGCAACGCAGCGAGCACCATGGTTTGACATGTCTCTGATGGGCAACAATGACCACCACTACCGTACCGCCGTCCTGCTCGCCAGCAATCGCCAGTTCGCTGCAATCAGCCGGTCCAGCCATTCGCTGCGCAGTCGGCTGTTGGCCGCCCTGGTTGCCCTGGCAAGGACTTGGTAGCAACAAGGGTTTCAGGTTTGATGTGACAGCTCGCCTGCCCTTTCCCCAGCATTGTTCCTGCCGAGCGAGCGAGTGCGCGTGCTCCTGGCCATCAACGGCGCGACCGCTCTAGATACCTCTATATCTGATTCCCTCCATGCACACACGCCGTCTATATCTGATTCCCTCCACACGCACACCGTCTATCTGATCCCCTCCACACCCCGTCTGTCTGATCTCCCGTGCCCACTCGGAGCTAATCGTCACGTTCGCAGAAATGATGTAACTACAGTGGAGCGAGAATGCCAAGGTCAACATGTCTAGTATCGGCTTGAGCAGTGTTCCTCGTCCCTACCAGCACATGGCACATTCCGTTGGCCGCTGTGCTAGTCAATCGGCAGGAACATGTTGAGAGCGAGGGTTCCCGCGTCGATGAGGATTGACACGGAGGAAAGTGCGGAGAATCACCAGCCGAACTGGGACTGTCTCATACTGTTCATTGTGCTTGCCAAACAACGACGTTCGCGACAATCATGTCTGCAGCTATACATTCTTGGATCTAAATGACGCGGAGATAAGGGCGGACATAATCGCTGCATTACCATAGACTATACTTCGTCGCGCTTCGTCCAGATTCCAGGGTACACGTGAGTTGGCGAGCGAGGCTGCTAAGTGGCGGGGCAGACTAGAAGCTCCGGGTCCCGTAACCATAGGATAGCACTGACGCACTTGCACGCTTCGCGCTTCTTTCACTCGACGTCTAACAACACCAAGACGGCCACGGCCTATTTCTTTCTCTATCTTGTTTCCTCTATTCTAATTACTGCCACGCTTCTCGCAAACTCAACTCTCTCGCTGTCCCACACCCTGACAGCCGCCATCGCCGAAGCTCTACTGTAGCCTCAAGGCAGCACAACGCCATCATGGCAGACCAACCGCCCGACCAACCTCACCAAGAAGAGCGACCCGAGCAACCCGAGCAGCCAGACAGCGCCATGTCTGACCAAAAAGACAGCGCAATGCCTGACCAAAAAGACAGCGCAATGCCTGATGCTGCGCCTGCTCCCGCCGCCGAGCCTGATGCCATGTCCGACGCTGACAAAGTGAGCCCGCCTGTTAGTCTCCCATCAAAGAGACACGCTGACGAAGACATTTCTCAGATCCGTGCAAAGCGCCTTGCAAAGCTAGGCGGTCCTGCGACTCCAAATGGTCCCTCACGGCCGCCGTCAACAGCGCCCGAAGCCGCATCATCAAGCACTTCATCGCCCAAGCCTACCGAATCACAGGCACCACGACCGAAGCCTCAACCTGAGCCCACCTCATCCTCAAACCCCTTCTCCCAACTAGGCGTCAAGACCGACGAGCCGCCCAAGAAGCGCATCACCATCAAACCCGCGGTGAGCAACAGCCCAGCGCCGCAGCCCGCTCACAAGGCGCCGGAACTGAGTAGAGAAGCGTGGGAGGACCGGACGCTCAGCAACATCTTCAGAATAACCCTGGACGAGGCCCATACGCAAGATGCACATGGTCACAAGCTGTACTTTGCATCAGGTGCCAAGAGCGACCTTGAGGATGAGGGCAGGCCAGTTCGCCTAAGTACAGATCTGTTGGACTCTGTGATATTGGAGGCAGCGTCGAGCCAAACACAAGGCTCAGCATTGGAGTATCTGATGAGCTGCTGGAAGCGTGTATCCAAGGTGCTTAAGAATCTCACAAACAAAACTGGACCACGATTCGATGTCGTCAAGGAGGCTCGGCGGTTGTGCTTCAGCTATTGCATTTTCGCTGCTACCATGCCAGACATGTTCGGCGAGGAAGCACCTGCAGAGAACGCATTAGCTGATCGCTTACTTCTCGGGCCCGACGACGAGCGCGGTATCTGCTACGAATTCCTCACTGAAGCGAGTCAACGGATAGGCGAAGACGATATGATTAGGGAGGCATTGGTGGGTGCCATGGAAGACGTCAGCAGGCGTCTCTCCACAGTCTCAATGAACGGCGACTACAAACCTCACATGCTAATCTTGCGGGTATTTGTCCGATTTCCACCACTCGTAGCTGCTCTGGCACAGTCCGAGACGTTTCTACCTGCCAACATCGAGGCCCAACACATCGAGACACACAGCTTCTTGGGGCCCTTCTTTCGGTTGTCCCCTATGCAGGCTGAAGTGGCTATGAACTACTTCGCTGGCTCATCCGCTGTTGACAAGGGACTCATCGCAAACGCACAACGCGCCGTCCGCATGACCCTCCAGACTCATCAGGAAGAACTGCTCGACATCACAAATACTTTCATCAAAAACAAGGAGTCTCGCGAGAAGATGCTAGACTGGTTAGCGCTGACGGTCAACAAGAACCACATGAGGCGTGCGATGCAAGTCGACAAGAAGAAAGTCTCGTCAGACGGCTTCATGGTCAATGTGACAGTCATACTAGACCGTCTGTGTGAGCCCTTTATGGACGCTACATTCGCCAAGATTGATCGAATCGATATCGACTACCTACGCCGATCGCCTCGCGTCGACATCCAAGACGAAACCAAGATCAACGCTGATCAAAAGACGTCGGATGAATTTTATAGCACCAAAGCCTCGGGTACCAACAACTTCATTAGCGAGGTCTTCTTCCTGACGGTCGCTGCACATCACTATGGTCTGGAGGCTGCGAACACCAAGTTGAGTACCCTTCAAAAGGACGTGAAGTGGCTCGAAAAGGAGCTTGTGAAGCTCGAACCTGAGCGGTCAAAGTACATGACCAGCCAGGCGCAGCTTGCTATTTTTGATAACCATGTCAAGAAGATGAAGGACCAGATCGAGCGGGGTAAATGCAGCATCCTAGCAATCCAGGGTGTCTTGCTTGACGAGACTATGCAGGCTCGGTCTATGCAACTGATGCGATATGTCATCGTATGGCTATTACGGATTGCTTCGCCCGGAACCTCTTTCCCCAAGTCTGAGCTCCAGCTGCCTCTGCCCAAAGAGCAGCCAGTAGAGTTCAAGTGTCTGCCTGAATATTTCGTCGAAGATATTGTCGGAAACTTCAAGTTCATCACTCGCTACATGCCGCACATCATCACAACCACTCAGTGCGAAGAATTGGTCAAGATCTGTATCGCTTTCCTACGAAGCTCAGAATACATCAAGAATCCATACTTGAAGTCCGGTCTGGTAACAATTCTGTTCCACGGAGTGTGGGGGATTCCTGGTCGACCCAAGGGCGTGCTTGGCGACACGCTCTTCGCGCACGACTTCGCTATGAAGCACCTGCTGCACGCGCTCATGAAGTTCTACATAGAATGTGAGAGCACAGGAACCCATACGCAATTCTTCGACAAGTTTAACATACGATACGAAATCTTCCAAGTCATTAAGTGTATTTGGCCGAACCCAATCTACCGAGAGCATCTTGCTACCGAGGCGCGTGTCAACCTGGACTTCTTCGTCCAATTCGTCAACCTGCTTTTGAACGATGTAACATTCGTTCTAGATGAGTCGTTTACCGCGTTCAAGGAGATTCATGATCTTTCAAGAGAGCTGAAGAATGCACCAGCAAATATGGAGCAGACTGCACGTCAAGAACAGGAAGAGAAGCTGGCGTCAGCTCAAGGGAAAGCTAAGAGCTACATGCAACTCACCAATGAGACCGTTGCCATGTTGAAGTTGTTCACAGAGGCGCTTGCCGATTCGTTCACCAAGAAGGAGGTCGTCGTGCGACTAGCGCATATGCTGGACTACAATTTGGAGGCGCTTGTGGGCCCCAAGAAGTCGCAACTCAAGGTCGAGAACCCTGAGGAGTATGGCTGGAACCCCAGGAACATGCTGGCTGAGGTCACCGACGTCTACCTCAATCTAGAGAGCAAGCAGTCGTTCATCGATGCTGTGGCTACGGACGGACGCTCCTATCGGGAGGAATACATGACCGAAGCTTACAAGATCCTCCAGCGCTTCAAGCTGAAATCGCCCGAGCAGATGGAACAATGGCAATCCATGTCAGACCGCATCAAAGAAGCAAAGGCCCAAGCCGACATGGTCGAAGCGGATCTAGGAGAAATCCCCGACCAATACCTCGACCCCATCCTCGCTTCCCTCATGGAAGACCCCGTCACGCTCCCTGTCAGTAAACAAATCGTCGATCGTGGTACCATCCAAGCACATCTTCTAAGCGACCCACATGATCCATTCAACCGCACGCCACTCAAGATCGAGGACGTCATCCCCAACGACGAACTCCGAGAGGAGATCCAGAACTGGAAGGCGAATTTGCTCGCTCAGAAAATGGCGGAGCGTAATGCTGCTGCTGCGCCGGCTAGTGATGCTATGGACACTTCCTAGGCAGGCTCTTAGAATGTCTACCTAGAATAGGACGATCACGTAGTTATGGTCATTGATGGCGTTTGTGGTGGCGCATTTACTGGATATGGGGCATAAGAGTATGGGTTTTTGGGTATTGAGATGATATTTGTGAGGCATACTAGGGCGACGCATTGTGGTGTTATGCCTTCCTCGTTACATGCATCAACGGAGATAGACATATGAATGTCGACACTTTAAGGAAAAGGCTCTACTCCAATCAACAAGGCCATTTTCTCGTCTTTTGTCCATCTCTAATCGTGTGTTTCTCGTGAGATCATCGTATCATCTTTCTACGTGTCAAGAGAGCATGCTGACTGTGTCAACACCACTCCTTCTTCCATATCCAAAAGTACCCTCCAAATCTCTCTTGATCACTTCCCCACATGCCCACAATACCAAAAGGTGTCATCCTAGCTTTCCACGTCCACATGGTGTCTTCCGAGAAGTATCTCTTTATCAAATAGACAAACCCGTCGTCTTGAACACGACCTTGTAATGAGAACTCTCCAACTGCATCTACTCCCCGGCTCTGCTGATCGACTATCGTGCATTCCGTGAGAGAAGAGTCGACCTCTAGCTCTTCTTTGCATATCCTCCTAGCAACGATTTGGATATCGCGCATTGCAGGGTCGAAACGCCGTCGTCCCAAGTAACGTCGCTGATCAGAGTAATAGCCTGTCCAGCAGCCGGAAGAGAGGAAGTCGGGCGACACCATTTTGTCAAGGTGACACCAGCCGAATGGTATGATTTCGTCTCCAAAGGGGGGCGATTTGCTTATGTCGAAGACAGGTGGCACATTCATCATAGAGTAGAAAGGTATCCCAGTAGGTGAGGGAAGCTCGGTGATGTGACTTGGAGTAAAATGACGTGTGAACAGCTCCAGCTCCAGCATCAGAGTGGGGAGCAATGTCGTAGCTTGGTCCAAGTCAAATGTATCCCCGAAGTAGCCATAGTCCCGCACTCGCTGTCTAAGACTTTTGATAGCGTCTCCATCGGTTCTTACCCCATTACTCAGTGTGATTGGTGGATCTGTGGCACGGTTCACGGAGAAGAAGCGGTCGAAGGGCTCTTTGACTTGCTTCCCGTTGCTAGTCTTTCTGAGTTGTGCAAGAAGGGTGTAGCTGAGAACGAAGTTGGCACTGAGAAGGTCGGGATCAATCGATTTCGGCACCCGCATCCTAAGCAGTACTTGGCCTTGGAGCTGCAAAAAGGTCTCAGGCTTGAGCTCTAAGGCGGCTGGATGGTGAAGAGCCATCATCTGTGGCAGCCATTCTGTGATTTTAAACGAATTGAGCCGCTTAGATGTGCTCAATGTCCATCTATCGTCTTTTTGAAGCAAGGCTTGTATACATCGTTCGGCTGCGTATGCTAAACGGATCGTCTGTTGAAGAGGAATATTCGTCAGGATGGCGTCGCTTTCCGCCCAGTAATTTTCTGACAATTCTATGCCATTCTCTAAAAGAAGAGATCGCTCTAAGTTGTACTTTGCAATATTTTGAAATACCACTTTATCATTGCAGATGTTGCGTAGTCTTCGGTCGACTTCGAGAAGGTTGAGAGCTGAGGAGCAGGGAAGAAAAGATGTAATGTGCTGTATCAACTCGTTGGGAAGTGAGAGAAGTTTTGCCATGGTGATTTCTTTTCTGAGTATAGTTGGATGACGAGTTGAGAAATGCTAGGCTGAAGGAGGGGAACGACACGGCGCTAGCTCACGTGGCGATAACGATAAGACATGTGCTGGTATGAAAGTAACACGACGTGACACGCCGTCCGAACTGCTTAGAATCTCATCGCCAATAGCTACCAAGAGTGTAGACGTTACTGAGATCCTCTTCACATGGCTTGTCGAGACAGCTAATGGTTGCAGCTTTATCACACCATCCACAACGTCAGTCCCAGTAACTACTGGTCGACTCGAAGGCAACGCACGAACGGCCGCACCCAAGGTTGACTCTTCGCAAGCCCACAGAATGTGCAACACAACACCATGTAGAGTCTAAAGCCTATGAGGTTAATCACACTCACTCATTCAAGAAGATCCAAGCTACACTTTCAGATCGATGACCAGAGATACATTTGGCCAATGCTACCCACCCCACTGTTCTGATGAGTTTGTTGCGGACTTGAGATTCAAAATCATCAACAGTCGCATCGTTCAAACAAAAGAGGATGTAACAAATCTGGAAAGCGTTGGTCTTCGAGGCACTCCTTCTCCAATAAGTCCAGGCTACAATGCCGTGTTCAATTCTTTCACAGTTCTCATGCAAGAACTGGAGTATAGACAAGTAACTTTCTAGTTATAAGAAAAAACGATGAGCTTGTCGTAGAATAGATATTCAGTCGATAGATATCAAAAAGCAACGCCGGTGCTCTCAACAGTTTTGCTGGAAAGTCGAATTTGACTTCCTGGTCTCGATGTGTTCCCAGCTGTTACGGAGGATCTCTTCATACCAACGATAAGCTCTCGAAGACGGTCAAGAGTCTCGATGGGGTCCATATCTTTGTTGTCGTTTAGGGTAAAGGTGTAGCGCCATCCTCGTGCTTTGAGTTGACTGTTGAGACTCATTTTTATATGCTCGACCGCGACGTCAGCATTAAAGATAGGCTGGCTGCCTTCCAATGGAAATCCAAACATCTTTACTTGTTTCTTAAATGCGCCAAAATTTCTGAGAACAATTGCAACGACCCGGAATTGAGGAAAGACGATCGACTCTGCTAAGAGGAGTGAGTTTCTCTCAATCCTTCCCTTGAGCTCTTCGAATCGTGGGCAACCAACGCTGTAGTCTTGGAGGTCGAAAACAAACACAAGCGCAGTTTCGTCCTCATGATAGTGACTTCGCGCATCGATAACGGTTACCAGATCTCTAGCCCCAAAAGCAACTTGAAAAGATACGCCTTCGTGTGGTACTGTTGCGAGGGGAGATTCCGTCATTCTTTCCGCTCTAAGAATTTCCGCTCCATACGCTGCGGAGCTTGTGAAATAATCGGTATTATCGGGAGGATCTGGAAATGGACTGTCTAACATTTGATGTATGAAACTGAGATCCAGTCAGCATAGATATGTGATTCCAAGGGCCAATGTAGCATACAATTCTGCTGCAAGATTGCCACTGTTGATACTTAACCCGCGACCAGGTATGCATCTGACCCAAAAGACCATATCCTCGAACTTAATACGATCAGTTGGAAAGTTGAAAGCAACTGAAGAAAACTCTTCGTTCAGTTCTACTGCTTTCCTCATGATCCTCACACAAGAATTCAGAGCATCTTTACGCACTGAAGTCTGACTGGAGTGTGGCTCTAAGACTGCATATGATGTGAGAATCCGCACATCCTCATCATCGCAGACATCTGAGCGATCCTTGACAATCGTGGATACAAGATCGATGCATAGCTCCTGGAGCTTCGAGTTGTACAATCGACATTGCTCTTGGTCGATCAGATGAGCCGCTTCAATGCAATTGACTAGTAAATCCTTGCCAGTGTGATCCTGCCCTAAGATACGGATCTTTCTCAAGCTGTTCGACGTTGACACAGACTCTGTCTTCTGTGCGGTCGATGACTGGGCCGTCATGTTCTGCTGTCGTCTTCTTAGAAGGTCTCTGACCGAGCCTCGAAATGCACGCTCGTAGACTCCGGTAGAAAAGATGTTTGAATCGAATTCAAAGACACGAGAAATCTTTGAGAGATTATCTGTCATCTTGCTGGTAAGGGAGGCAGAGTCACGATGGACATACAGTGACACCGAATCTGCTTTCGCCCGATGGAGCACTTTACGGTTTTTACTTGTTTCGAGATATCTTTGCTGTGCAGAGAGTGTTTTGCTGGACATATAAGCTTGGAATGTCGAGAGTTAGGTTGTCGCAGTTGTTACCAGTTGCACGCGGTCAACAACAGAGTCAGTGCGCTCGTCTGGTGCTCGATAAGCTTCTGTACGTTTTCTGGACCGCTGCTACCAAAAGCAACCTTGAATTTATTGCGAAGGTCGAGTGGTTTCTCTGTTAGCTGCGCCATGTTGGTAAAAAAACTCTCAACCTTATCTATCAACAGTTTGCAACAAGAAATAGACACGTCTAAATCCATCACAAGCTGATGATGGGTGTCTTGGAGATCCTGGTCTATCCACTCTTGGATCTTGGTTGTGGCAGCCCGCAAGGCTGTGAGCTGGGACGCCAGACTGAGTAAAGCGAGATCCGCTTCACCCCATCTGGCTTGAAGATCTCTGATGATGCCAACGACCTTGCTTATACCATCCACGATACTAACAATTGATCCGACTCCACCTTCGAGCGTATGAAGTTAATATTTATCGCACATGCATTTGGGACAGGCACGTTGCTCACCGAGGATGGCGAGAACTTCCGCCATCTTGTTGGCGCGTTCCAGCCTTGTGACGCATCCACTAACTTCTTATCAGGGACAGAGAGTCTGTACCTTCGACTTAGCACAGGTTTTGTTCGAGCGAATGCCACATATTAGACAGAAAAATGATGAGGAAAATGTCGTTGGAGATGACAGAAGTAAGGAGAGTACAAGACCTGTATTGGGGTGGGTGGAAGCGCAGAGCATCCCCAATGCTCAGCCTCGCGCTACGCCCATCGTGTTCAACATCTGGAAAACCTGATTGGCCCGGCTACGGTCCACTCGGATCATAGAGGAACAGTATGCAGTTGTTGACTGAATAGGAAATGGCACGATGCTCATATACGCTCGAAAATGTAGTCATAGTATGTCCGTATTGCAAGTGACCGGCAACCACTCCCTATCGACATTCGAACGATGCTGCCTCATCGGGATTTCCAGTCACATACATCAAGTGCTTCGGCCACAAGCAAAGTTCCGCTTTCCTACCCGCTGTCGTCTTTGCCTCGAGCGTGTCGGGTGCCACACCCATCTCTACCCAGTCAATGAGAGCCTTAAGACCATCTCCAGGATACCAACCCAGCCCACCGCCGTAATGATCGACACCTGGCGCCTCGAAGTATCGATAGTAATCGCTAGCATTCGCGTCACGCTCGTTGACCTGCTGCGCGTAGTGCGCAGTCGCGTCAGGCGCGATGGCCTGATCAGCAAGTCCGTGCCATGAGAGAAGCTTGCCACCCGCTTTGCGAAATCCATCGAGGTTCGAGTTCGCCGTTCCGATGATGGAATCATAACGGTCCACAGCTTGGTAGAAGAGCTCTTCGAAATACGAGATGTTAAGTCCTCCAGTATCGTACTCACGATCCCGCAGAACAAAGTCGGTAATCCAAGTCTGGGGGACGGTGAACGGTACACCGACACATGTATTGTTGCTCTTACACGTTGTTGAAGCGAGGCCAGCAAATGTAGCACCGATGTTGCCGGCGTACCAAAGAAAACGGCCTTCGGTTGTCGTGGCACCCTGCCATATCATCTTGGCGACCGTGGCTACAGTGGTTGTGATCGTCATGCTCTGGTTCGTAGACGGACAAATGTGTTGTCTGCCAACAACGGTCATCGGGTCAAAAGTGCATTCTTGGGGTAACGAGATAATGCCATCCTTTAGTCCATCTAGTCCATCGCAGGCTTCGGTGGCAGCAACATTTATAGCCTCAAACTCCTGTGGGGACGGAAATCCTGCCCGGTGTTAGTCATTTGCTCCAATATCAGCAAGGGACGTACCATTCTCGTTCATGACGACCTGCGGCCAGATGAGTTGCATCATCAACTCGTTCCAGTATATGGCTGGAGCAGTTGCCAGGATACCGTCATATTGATTTGGATACCTCTGAGCCATCATATAACCTTGCCTGCCACCCTGGGAACATCCGTTCCAGTAGCTGTAGCTTGGTACTCTACCGTAGTAGGAATGCGCGACCGCCTTCCCAAGCGTGGCGAGATCATCTAGCGCAACCGAGGATAGATCTTCCAACAATACCCAATTGACATTGCCAGGACTGACTAGCGACCAGCTTATGTCATTACCGATGTGACCTCCATCCGTCGCAATGGCAACAAACCCCTCGCTAGCTGCCCATAGAAGCGTGGTATTAGTTTCAGGTCCTGTCGCCCAACCCCCACCACCAGCTCCTAGAAGCCTTCCAGTCCAGTTTTCAGTGGAAGGCAGCCAGATGACGGTGTTGATCGTGTCGTTATACCCGGGATGTGTGTATGTAATAGTGACTTCGCAAGCGTTCAGGCCGTTCACAGTGACAGCGTAATGATTTTGGTCAGCGGGAGCTTCAAATGACAGGTTGATGTGTGTCTTTGTTGTGATGTTGAGAATTTGACTGCCGTATAGCTCCAAATCCTGGAATGAAGATGCTTCGCACGCTTGCTCCCCAGAAGCTGGGTATGTTAGGCACCCTAATATAGGGAGAAATAAGACAGGATTTGGTATTCTCAGGAACGACATGTTCACAGTAAAATCTTTACCTAGGCAACGATCAAGATAGTTTAGATTCGAAGCCACTTACTGTGAACGCATGGCGGCGTCTACTTATAGCGAATGCAAGCAGACTGCGTTTACACATTCACCCGCAATCCATGAATTCCAGTGGTATATCCACAGGGATATCTAAGTTGATGAGCGTGAGACAATGACCGACATCCTGTTAATATGCAGGAGTATCAGGTGTCGTAAGGTGCTGTTATGTCGTCAAACCGTGCTGTAGAAGGATGATTTCTGGCGACGCCACAGTGCCATAATCGGTGCTAGTGCATCTTTCAATAGGTATCCACGAATTGGCGAACAATGGTTGAATCATGTGCTGCTGACTCAAGAAATGTCTGAAGCATTTGTGACAAAAGGCGACCAATTTAAATCCCTGTCGTGGCGCTTTGAGGTGATTTGAGGCCTTTTCGATGGCACGGTATTTCGCATCTTTAATATGTTGAGTCTCTTAGACTGTGATTTTTGGTTCCTGACGCTGTCTTTGTGAACTTCTGTAGATGAAGTGGGTGGAGGATGGCTGTCGTGGATGGTCGGGTCCTTGGACTCTTCTCGCGCCGCGTACCGCTTTTCGTCTTTCTTGCATCCCCAATTCAACCGGGGTCGCTTGAGTGCATATTCTGATGACCGGCTTACATCTTTGAATCGGTGTCGCAGTATCGCCCATGAGCACGTTGTTGTAGATGAGGTCCAGAGCAATCTCAATGTGCTACAGATCTCTCCGAAGTATAGCGGGTACACTATACCTCTTTCAGCGCGCGCAAATACGTCACTACGCATCAGTTTCGCGATGCGCCAGAACGCTTCCTGGAGCTTCGCCAGTCATGAATCCCTTCTAGCCCAAAGACATTATCACTCTTTCTTCCAGCCCATACTCAAATACCGAGTCGGCTTTGAATTACCCCACATACTTCGTGTGGGGCAACAGCTACCCCAACAGCACCCCGCATCGGACTTGTACCGTGTCGGAACCATGCCGTCCGTATACATACAGGATGTCAAATTTCCACATCTTTTCGACAGATCCTGTCCTAGAGGGCGAAATTACTGTACTCTAAAATCGAACACCAGAACAACACAAGTATGGATCCAGCACAATTCGGCTACAGTACCATTCCTCTAAATCATGCTCCATACGGCCCTATCGTACCGTCTGCCCTAGAAGGCTCCAATGCCGGGAAGGTAGCCCTAGTAACGGGAGCTGGTCAAGGCATCGGCGCCGCCATCGCAGAATCGCTAGCGAAATCCGGGGCCAATGTAGCCATTCTGGACCTCAACGCCGACAAGCTCACCCAAACCAAGAAGACATGTTCAGCATTTGGAGGAAAGGTCGAAGCGTATGGTTGCGATGTGACGGACATGGAGCGAGTGAAGGAAGTCTTTGGGCAGGCGGAGAAGCAATTAGGACCAATCGATATACTGGTGAACAACGCCGGAATTTTTACTCAGCGGCCTTTCATCATGGGGGATTTCGAGACATTTTGGAAACAAATCGAAGTCAACTTCAAGGCTGTAAGTTCACGTTAATCAGGTCAATTTATTTTCACTAAAAAAAAAATTCCAGCCCTTAATGCTTATCCACGCCATCCTTCCACGAATGCAAGAACGCGGACACGGCTGCATTATCAACATCGCCTCCCGCTCAGGTACCGTCGATGTACCCATGACATTGGGATACGTAACTTCCAAAGCAGCGCTCATCCGGGCTACACATACACTGCAGACTGAGATGGAGCTTGATGGACTGGATCCTGCGATTCACATGTATGCGCTACACCCGGGTGGTGTCAAAGGGAACATGGGCGGAGGTAAAACCAAATCTGTCGAGGTTGATGCTGTGTCCATGCTAACGCAATGTAGCTCCGGCTGCGGATGATGTGAAGAAGAAGTACGGTGATGTTACAGATGAGGAATTCTTCAAGGATCTATTCAAGGATGGGCCTTCGCTTTGTGGGCAGACGTGTGCATGGCTGGCTAGTGGGCAAGGAAAAGAGCTTAGAGGGCTGTTCCTAGGTAAGACGCGTCTCTTGTAAGGACCTTGTATCTTATGACTAATACCATTCAGATTGCCGACAAGACGTGAGGAATTTGCTCGAAATCGGACGAGACACATTGTTGAAGGAAAACCGGAACAAGCTGACAGTGAACTTCATTGATGGATATTGCAACGAGCCATAGTGATCGGAATTCAAAACCGATGTCATTCTGTGGTAGCCAAGCGGCATTCTAATATATTACAAGAAGTGAGAGAAGTGCATGAGAACAAAACATGATTCCACATACAAAACCGAGTATCACCGCAATGAGCTCAAGAGTTTATGGTCTTCGCCTACACAGCTTCTTCCCTTTGTAGATCAACTGTTGCTCATGCGACTGAACCTAAGCATCCTAGGTCATATACACTTAGTAAACTGGGACCTTGAAAGCATCGAAAGTGTAGGTCCAGCTCTCAATGGATGCCTTATCCTCAACGCAGTCAAAGTCAGAGCTGTTTCCAGACCAAAGCGGTCGCGCAGGCCACTGGCAAAGCTGCTGCACCTCGCCAGCGTTGGTGCCCGACGCTACGGTGGCGTTGAGGCGGCTAGGCTTCACTCCGTTCTCAACCCAGTCGATGATAGTAGCCATGTTGTCTTGCGGGTAAAGGCCAGGCTGAAGAGCGTTGGCATTGCAGTGCGCCGCGCCGGGAATGAGGTAGAATTGGTACCAGTCGGCCATGGCTTCTTGAGCCTCAGCATCGGTCATGTTAGGGTACATGATCGAGCGAACGGACTGCCAGTAGTGGACCGAGGATGCAGCAGGGATAGAAGGGTCAGATTCACCGTGGTAGTGGATCATCTTCGCGCCTGAAGACTGGAAAGGCGTGAGGTCGGGGAGAGTGGTTTGCAGGCTGTCGAGGTAGCGGACCATGCCGATGTTCATCCATCCTACGAGATCATCGTAGGTGATGTTGTCGAGGTTGGCAAGGTTGTCCAAGTCGAGCAGCTGGACGAACTTGGTCACGTACTCGCCACCAGTGGAAGGGATGTTGAGCTCCCACTCGCCGGTCGCATTGTTGTACGTTGGCTCGGCGTCGCTAAGCTCCGAGCCAATCTGCCAAGAGAGGTATGCACGCTCGCCCTTGGAGTTATGAAGGCCATCGTAGACACCTTGCGCCAATGCAATATCATTGGCGTTGATGGTGCCGTTCTGTTCGGGTTGAGCACTGGTCTGGCTTCCTGGCATCTGACGCTTGCTGAGGCCACGCTTGCTGAACCCAAAGCCAAGGGAAGTACTGGTCTGGGCAGCACAGTAGTAGCTTTCGCCGATCAGAGAGCTGAAATTGAAGTTGAGTTTGCAAAGGTCGGTGCGGGAGATGACACCTGCAGCGACATGTGTTAGAGCGCATCTCTTATATAATAGTTTAGGTTACTTGCCATCAGTACGTCCGTCGAGAGGATCGCAAGCTGCAATCGTAGCGTTGACAATTTTGTCCAACGCGCATGGCGGTGGGAAGTAGTCGTTGACAACGTTGATTGTAGCAGGGTAGACATGTAGAACCTGCTGCTGTGCGTAGCGGAAGGCGGGTGCACCAGCCACAACGCCATCGTACTCCTCACCCCAGCGCTGAACCTGGCTCATAGCCTCGCGGCCACCGTCAGAGCATCCCTCGAAATAAGTGAAGACCTTGGTGTCGTTCAACCCGTAGAAGGCCTGTGTGACCGGTTTTCCAATCTTCGTCAACTCTCCGAGGGCGGTGTAGGCGAAGGCATAGGTGGCGTCCCAGTTGATCGTTCCATTGCCGTATAACACTGCTGCATCGAAGTTCTGGTTGAAAGCATCGTAGCCGGCCGAAGTGGCTCCAGAAGCAGCGCCGTATGGCAAACCTCCTGTCGCATCGCTGGAGAGTGCGTAGCCTCCGCCACCAGAGAGATAGAAACGATTGGCGAAGGTAGAAGGTTCGGGAAAGGCAAAGATGAGAGGAATGACATCTTCCTTTCCAGTATGGACATAGCTAACAGTGACGTTACAGTAGTTGTAGGTAGTACCATCGGTAGCTGTTGACGCCATACCGCCACCTCCAAGAGTAGCATTGTAGACGGCACTGGCGGTTACAGTGCTTGGGAGTAAATCGATACCCAGTAGAGTGCCGTTGGAAGGGAGAGAGGCCTGTACGTTTGATACGGTGCAGAGGTCAGTCAGCGAGGCTGCGTTGGCGGTTACTGCCATGGCGGCGGCCGTGGCGCGAGATGAGTGTCGCATGGTGGGCGTACGAACAATGAGAAGATAACAAGATAACGAGAGGGTATCCCCGAACAACTGTAGAGAAGCTTGGTGAGCTGGGTGGTAAGCAAGACATTCCTCGCGGATTCTCGAGCATTATGTACTTCCTGCCAGTCCTGACTCGGACCATCTACTTCACTATGGTCATCGCAGTAGGGACCCAGATCTATGGCCGCAGTCTCTATCCATGCTTAGAGTAACCCCTAGCAATCTCTCAGATCACTGTTGCCAAACTTTTGACCCTATTCTTGTCCATGCGTGCCCTGTCAGAGACCTAGATCGGCGGTGTCCAGCCCTGTAGTGACGGCATCTCCCGACTAGCGCAATATCGCAATACGTGTGCAATGATCCAAATGGAAGGAAAATATAGTACGCCGGCTGTATCAATTGTTGCGCCGCGTCACTGGGAAACATCTTGCTGGTAGTAGGTATGAGCTGAAGTTACGCGTTCTCGGTTAGCGTGCCGGGGGCCCAAGCTTGGATGAGCCTTTATCCAGACAAGCCTTGTAGCTGATGCTTTTCAAAGATCTTTGCTGTGCAAGGCTTGCAGCCAAGTGATCAGGCGGATGAGAGATCAAGCGGTCTTACGGCTTTGAAGCCGCGTATCATCGCGGCGAAGTTTCTCTTATTAGTGATGAAAGAAATAGTTCGTCCGAAGCGATCATTGCGCTGTTATAATGACATTGTTTTGGTTTGCTCACAAGTACGCTAATATATGTCAAAGAGCGTCTATACTTGGTGTATGCTACTCTTCACACCGTCTCCTTCGTCTCAACATGCTCCGTGCTTATCTCCTTCTCAAACTTCGCTTCCTCATTCGCAGCAATCCTCGCATCGGCTTCGATAAACTCGGCTGGGCGGTGTAACTGGATAGCAAGCTTGTTGCGATGAATTAGGATACCCGGTTGAGTCTCGAAGAAGCGATCGATATCCTCTAGGGTTCTGTTCGCTGTCTCTGGGTACAGAAAGTATGTAATCGGAATGAACGAAAAGCAGATGACTGCCCAGATAATCCAGAATTTGTAGCCTAGATTTTGGATACCGGGAAGTGTAGCCTGCACAACACCATAGTTACAGATCCAATTGGTCGCCATTGCGAGCGAAGCGCCTTTGGTTCTCATTTCAAGGGCGTTGATCTCGGTTGGATACAGCCATGGCACGCCTAGAACGCCCATTCCGAAGCTGGCGAAGAACACGAAGAAGAACGAAACTGCGACGATACCCAGTTTATACGAGTCGCCACCTGCTTCAGTCTGACCCTGGGACGCTGCAATGACGATCCAGCAGATGGAACATGCTCCGGCGGAGACCATCATAACTTTGCGACGTCCATATCGCTCGATGACGAAGTATGCCAAGCAAGCAAATATGAGATAGTCGACTGAGCCGGCGGCGGCGAGGATGCGCGAAAGAAGTTCCGAGATACCCAGAGCATTTATGAAGATGTAACTCATGTAGTAAGACGTGACGTTGATTCCTGATATTTGGTTCATAGCCTGCATCCAAGCACCGAGAAGCATGCGCCGCAGGACACCGCTAGGTCCTTTGCCGGTAAGGAGCTGCATCCACGTGTACGTGTTCATATGTTCACGGTCTAGGATGTCCTTGATGATGTTGTACTGTGTGATTACCGAGGCTGACTCCGGCGTTGCTCCATGGCCTTCGAGAGCAGCAAGGACTTCCAAGGCCTCGTCATGTTTTCCTTTGCGAATCAGTAGACGAGGTGAGTCTGGTAGGAAAGGACACATGGCGTAGATGCAGAAAGTGAAGAAGAGTTGGAACGCTAGTGGGAAGCGCCATGCTATATCGCGCGGTGCGAACGAGAAGCCGAGCGTGAGCCAGTTTGAAATGCTGAAACCGGTGATACAGTTCGCTACAGACATGTCAGCTGAGATGAGATCACAGATGCCGGTATGCACATACCCATCTGAATGATGACAAGCTTTCCTCGACTATTCATCTTGCTTGTCTCAGCTTGCCAGACTCCAGCCGTGGCTGTGTTCATGCCAGTACCAAGTCCAGCCACAATGCGCCCGACCATCATGCTCGCTACGGTCCAGCTGCATGTCTGGATGATTGCGCCAATACCAATGATTGTCGAACCGAGTATAATCTGCCTTGGACGTCCGAGGATGTCGCCAGTCCAGATGGTAGACATCGCTCCAATGAAGCATCCGATGTTGTATATGGAGGTCATTACACCTTGCATATTCGCGGACGGATATCCGAACGTATGAAGGAAGTTCTCCGAGATAATGACATTGCCGAACACACCTTGATCATAACCGTAGAAGCTGCTAGGCGTCAGATAGGTACGACAAGGATTATTCGAATCGCATCTTACATGAGTACCGTACTAGCAGCGATGGAAATCCACACTGTCAGTCGCTCACCAGAGCCTCCAAGGTATTTGCGCGCCATGGTGGAGTGCTGCTTGAGCAGATACCACCGTCTCACTCAGAACGCGGCAGTAGTCGCAGGTGAGATCAAGGAGTCGAAGAATCGGGAGGAAAGATCCTCAAATTGAGGGGTGTCAACAAGTGGCACAATGCAGAGCCCTGTACCGAACTTTGTGATGTGCAACGGGGTCACAGCGAGGATCGCCTCTTTATACAGGCTCTCATACCCAGCCTCGGGATCTTCTCCGCTTATCATTATCCTCATGTGCGAAGCTTGTCAAGCCTCATAAGCGTTTGGTCGTCTCGAGATCCACCGTACTTCCCCAGAGTCAGAGCACATCCCCCATACCCCGTAGACCGTGGGCCCACATAGTCAACATTAGAGCTCTGTGACTGGTGATAGCGGCGATTTAGCCGAGCGAAGAGGCGACGAGCGATCAGAGCGTAAGGATAGAATGACGACTGCAGCGTTGAGGTTGCGAACATGGGGATAATGCATCGCGGAATACTAGTTCAGGGAAGGCGGAATGCTGTGTCGGCTGTCAAGTACGGAAGGTGAAGCGAGCGCGGGGTAAAAAGGAAAGTAGGCCGGGTGTGGGGAAAATCGGTGTCGAAACCCACGCCGCGACATGAAAGCTGGGGAAACCGGGTGATAACTTCTGTACTCTTGTACGCATCTTTCGCATAGTTGGAAACAGGACAGGCTCCCGATACCTAAACCCTTTTCGCGCATTCAGCCACGCAACTGCCTAATTAGCAAATCAGCATCATGGAGTCCCCGCAATACTCCTCAAACGTCAATTTATCTCGCGGAAGAAATAAGTTGCAAATCAAGTAGCGCACCATAGCCCTATGATCTGCGCATCGTATTCAAAATTATTGAGCGCGAGGTTTTCCAAATCCAGGAGTACTCCCGATATACGAGAGACATTCGCATGAACTCATTCCTCCCACCGGTAAAAGGTTAGTGGCCAGTTCTTCGTGTTGACGATAAACTCAAAATGCAGAAGTATAAAGATGCCAGACATCTAGATGGTTGAGTACGGACACAACTGCCTGCTAAGATATTCTCACCATGATGTGGACCAACTCTGTCCTTGTCACCCTCGCTGGGGTGACCCATGTCGCATCGCAGTCATTCCAGCAAACGCCAGTGATGGGCTGGAACTCGTACAACCAGATGTCATGTAGTCCCAATACCCAAAAGATAACTACCACCATCAACTCTCTCGCCAGTCGTGGCTTCGTTGATGCAGGCTACAAGTTCTTCCAAATCGACTGTGGGTGGGCCTCAAGAGATGGACAACGTAACACAACGAGCGGCGCTTTGAAGGTGGATCTCAAAGCTTTTCCAGGCGGCTTGAAGCCTCTGAGTGACCTTGCAAGGTCCAAAGGCATGAAGTGGACCATGTACTCGGATGCTGGTGTGCGCATGTGCGATCCGCAAGCACCAAGCCCTGTCTTAGGCTCCTTGGGCCACGAAGCTGCGGATGCCGACTTCTTCAAGACGCTGAACACCGAATACGTCAAATGTGAGTTCTAAGAAGTAATCTTCCATCTTGATCGCCGTACTCACAACCCTTCAGACGACAACTGCTATGCCGATGGACCTGCAGCTAGCCAGAACGCCCCCAAAAACGCCAGGACCGATTTTGTCTCTCGCTTTGGCGTCATGTGGAAAGAACTTCAACGAGTCGGCATCCCTGGACTGCTGATCTGCCAATGGGGTGTACCTTTCAGCACATCTACTGGCTTACAAGGACCTGTTCAGTGGACTAAGGGCATCTCTACATCCTTCCGGCTGTCGGATGACATCACGTCAGGTTGGGCGTCTATGTTCCGCATCTACAATCAAGCCGTACACATTGCGAAGTCCGGCCTAGTAGGCCCCGGACATATTGCCGATGCTGATCTACTCATGGTGGGCAATTCTGGTATGACGTTTGATGAGCAAGCTACTCACTTCGCTGCATGGGCCATGTTGAAGTCGGCGCTGATGATCTCGACTGATGTTCCAGCTTTATCAAATGAGCTTGTTGCTGTTCTGCAGAACAAGGACCTGATTGCTATCAACCAAGACTCAGCTGTCAAGCCGGTCACGCTCCACCAGCGCTGGAGCGGAGATCGAGACCTTTGGGCCGGCGATCTTGCTAATGGAGATATGGCTGTCCTAGTCGTAGATATCAGCAACACTGCTCGTACGCTGAGCCTGCAGCTTTCTGAGCTTGATATAGCTTCGGCATCTATCAAGGATCTCTGGACTGGTACGACTATCAGCGGAGCTTCTCTTTCCAAACAAGTCAAAGCCCATGGATCTCTCGCCATCCGTCTCTCCAATATTCGCCGCTCGACAGCTACGAAGCCCACTTATACATTCGTCTCCGCATCAACTGGCTCCCTCTCTTCGGGTGCAAACACCCAATCTTGTTCAGGCTGCACCTCATCTAACAAAGTCGGCAACCTGGGTGGATCTTCGAACGGCCGTGTAACGATCTCCAATCTTCGCACGTCCAAAGCCACACAGACAGTGCTTTTTGACTATATCAATGGCCAGGTTGACTACATGGGCGGCAGCAACGAGCGCGTCGCAGCGATCAGCGTGAACGGAGGAGCCGCGAAGACCGTTAGCTTCCCTCTGAGCGGGTACAATTGGGACAAAGATGTGTACAAGAATTACGGCGTGGAGTTGTCGGGCTTCAGCACTACGGGTACTAACACCATCACCATCTCTGGTGTTGGAAGCGCGTACGCACCAGATGTTGACAGGGTTGGCGTAGTTGCTTAGCACACGGCCGGTCTCACTTCGGTGTATCACGGTCTTTCCAGCCACGGCTGATTAACCGCCTCAGCCACCTCTAGTGGCCTGAATGTCTGTTTTGCGACAAGCTACGGATGTTTCTGAAGTACAATGAATAACATCACTCTATATTCGGCCCGATAAAGCTTCAGACCGTTATTCACGTATATACTCGCGCAACCTGTCCTCCGTCCGACCAACCGCATAGTACAATTCTGTGAGGCTTCTCCGCGTTATCCTTGCTTGAGCTGGTAGAGTAGTTGTTTTGGCCGTCACACACGCCAGTCCTTACGATATTCAATGTGATATCCGAGTGTTCGGCCTTTCTGCTGCCCTTTAAATGACTGACCGTATTTCCAAGACAGCAAAGCCCGGCAAGTGTGACGTATGCCCGTCTCTTTGTAGTTCAGTGCATGAGCGAATATCATTCATTCCGGGCCTGCAATATAAGACACATAAGTACCTTCACCCATCTCGTCAATTGAGATCGCCTTTTCACCATAAGCCGCATCCTTCACTACAGCTCCGTTCCTCGCAGATACACAAGATGAAGCTTCAGCACCTTGTCCCCGCCGTGTTCTTCTCAGCCTCGGCTCTAGCGGCAACGTTCAACGGCTTCTCTGACACCGCCTGCCAGCGCTACGACGGCACATACATTCCCGTCACAGCAGCTCAACTCCAAGATCTCGTCGTCCAGGAATGGGCAACTACGGATGCGGTTCCAGAAGCATCGCGCTTCTTGACTACGCCTGATGACAAGAAGAAGTGCCCTTCCAACGAAGATGATACATATAAATGGGTGAGTTTACACGATCTCGGCGTGCTGCCTGTTATCAACACTTTGCATCCTTGGTGTGTACGTTGGCTGGTAAATCGTTACTGACTCGTCACTTTCTACCTTCCAGATCCAGATTCCACAATGGGAGCAAGGCAGCCAGTTTCCCGCAGGAAACGGTGGCGCGGTTGCAGTGGTCTACTACAAGGATACAGACACCTATAGCCTCTGCAGGTACCTTGCTGCTGCTCAGCAAGATGGATATGCAGGCATGTGCAGATAGACGGATGGTGGCATTAGATTACTTGTATCGTCAGTGGCGGCTTGAACAGCATATGGGACGTAGCAAGCATACATTTACTGAGAATGTAATTGCCGCGATAGTAATTGACTTCCCATCCCCTTCTATATTCTAAGCCAATGATTGGACAGATTCATATCTTCGCATTTGCGCATTCCGTATTCATGCTGTGTTCATGACCTGCTCAGTTGTTCCTCCGCCAACTCCTCAAGGTCCCCGCAAATCTCCTCCTCGTCAGATACACGAACCCCATGAACACAACCGCAAACACCAAACTGCCTGCCCCAGTCGTCTGGTTCTGCACGGCCTGCTTTTTTGCCTCCTGATAATATCCCTTCATCTTCTCCGTCATGCCATCGTCTTTCTCGAGATCAGGCATCGCCATGACCTTGACCACCAGTGCGGTCCAGCCAGTGAATTGTTGCGTGCGTTGTCCATCACCTCTAATAGGGTCGTACTGTTCCCATACGTACCCTGTCTTGAGGTAAGAATTAAAGACAGTATGGACAATGTTGCGACGGAGCTCGATATATATTTCACGACAGCGTTGTTGTGACGGGCCGGGTATCAGGGCGAGGTCAAATAGATTGGTTAGGATGAGGTAGTTCATGTTGATCCAGATGGGCGAGCGCCAGTAGTTGTCGTCCTTGCCATAGGCTTCGTCCCCAGGGCTAAGACTACGGACGCCGAAGTCCGTCCATAGTTTTTCGGGGTCGCGAAGAAGGGTAAGCATGGCTGATAGATGTGGGTGCGATGCATCAGTGAAACCAGTGAGAAGCGGGAAGATTGAGAGATAGCCTTTATGACAGGCATTTGTATGTAGGGCATTCCGTACGACGGCATCGCAGTATATGTTCGACTCCTTTGCCCAGTGTATGGTATCGATGTTGGTCTTGACGCCACGGATGTGGTTCTGGAATGTGAGCGCGTCATGTGCATTTTCCGTCAAAAAAGCGATGCGTTCAAGGGTCCGCGCCATCACGCCAACCCAGCACAATGCATCCAGATGCAATTCGGTGATGTCAGGAGGCTCTGCTCGAGGGTAATCATCCAGTCCACTGGCGAAGTTCGTTCCCGGTGTTCGACCCCGCCACCTGTAACCTTCGTTCAAGTTGGCCGCTGGGATGGAATGTGCCTCCACATCTCCAGATTGCGACTTCCGGAACCAATCATAATGCTTCTTGAGGTACGGGTACATCTTTGCCATCAAGGCCTTTCCAGTCTCAGCTTTGGCAAGGTAAACCGAGTCATGGCCATGATACTTTGTCTTGCCCTTCAACATATCGATGAACTTAGAAATGACCAAAAACATTGTTGGTGGGTTAGCAATGTGTGGAAACTGAGTGACGAATTCAGCAGGCGTGCCACCCTCTGCTTCCGCGCCTAGGATCTGCTCTCTTGCGATCCAGCCATCATCGTCCATGAGAAAAAGCCAATCATCTATCACCTCCAAAGCGAGATCTGCATCCCATTCAATGACGGGCAAGAGATGAAAACCTTCATCCCACAAGAAGCCCCTTGGGAAGGCCGCGCGCGACGGTGTATGTGTAAGAAGTTCGTATGGACCTTTCATCTTGGGTGTCGAGTGCTTCCTCGCATCGACTGATTTCTGCCAGAAGTTTCCCGTCGTCTCAGCATAGATGGCTTTCTTTGATGTGTCAACCTTGGCAGTACCAGTAAAATATCCTAGTCCACCCAATAGGTTCGACAGGGTGCTTTGAGCAAAGGCGCGGTGTTGGTCGGTAGTAAAGGGGGTTTTCGGAATGAACGTGGTGGCGAAGTTCTTGTCAAAAGACTTGAGGGTACTCTCTAGACTGCTGGTGAGACCAGCGGCTTGGGAGTGTCAGTATGCTTGAATCTTAACCCACTTCGCTATGTGACATAGCTGAAACGAGAACTCACAAGTCATGGCTCGCTTCGCGGAATCGCTGGAGTAAAGAATATCAAACTGCAGGAGGTCAGTCGCGGTAGAGACATAAGATAGTGAGACTAACCTCAAATGATCCATGGCACACTAATTGAACTAATTGCATGTTACCGTTACTCGGGGCGTTGCGCAACACGATGTCATTTGGTCCTGGCTCTTTACGGTCCTTGGTCTGGTCTTTCAACGAATCCAGGAAGGTGGCTTGTCACACAAACTCATCAGCTAGCTACTCACACCGACAGATGAGGCTTGGAATACGGGTAGATAGGGTGGAAAAGATTTGGCATTCATTGCACTCACATTTGCCCTGCCATAGTTTATCTTCTGTTACGTTCAGCGTCTTAATGTATGCCACCTCACGCTTTTCTTCTGCGTTGATAGGTACAGGAATGTGTATACCAGCAGTACCCAACTTTGGGTGCACAATATTCATGTTCACTGCCTGGACAGTCTTGTCGTCGTCAGGTTCGAATTGCTGACGCGCCTCGAGCTTGCAGTCGGCGCAAGCTTCCATGGCCTCCATGCCGATGTAGAAGACTACAGTTGTCTTGAAATCTTCCGGCGCGTCTGGTCTTGGTATGCCCCGTACGCGCAACCCCCAATTGCCCTGGCTCTGGCCTTCAGAGTACTTTACAAACTCAGTCACGAGGTTTATCTTGTTCCCAGGATCCTCTATGGATTGCCTGCCGCCCTCTCGTGCATCGTATGCGATCCAACCGTATCGGGCCATGCCTTCGCTCTGGTTTACGTTGTGGCGTAGTGCTGCATTACTGGTCAGCACTGTAGGCGCAGCCTTACATTGACTACTTACTCGTCTCAACGTCTTCTAGCTTCGCCCACATGAGTCCCGCGACTAGACTCTTGGGCACGCGGGGGCGAAGACCCAAGTAGAGGTTTGGGCGATAAGGACCCCATAGCAGCGATTCGTTGCTGGTCGGTACTTTGTGGTCGATGGCGGACGTGGGTGAGAGAAGCGTGAAGAGGAGGGTCAAGAGGGTGGACGGGAGCATAGTGAAGTATGACGGGTATGACGCGTTTCACCACGCGTCGGCCAATTGGTTGCAGACTAGACCGTAAGACACATGCAGCGGTGGCGCGAGGCTTCAAAGCATATCTCTGCTACGTTGGATTAGCTCTTAGCTGACCGCGACAGCAATGCGCCGGCAATATCGGACATTATGCCCAGCCAGAGCTGTCTTGGACCCTGCTGTGCCTTGATTGGACGACGGGCTTTGCTAGCATGTGACGCCATGGCCAAAACAACTCTACTCTCGTCTTCAATCGCAAATCAAGGGCACGCGATAAGAATCACTATTCGTTTTACACATCACTCTTTGATGCTATAGCTACAACACGCCGGTTGCAAGGTACCCGATCTCCAGCCTACCAGATACCACAAATGTCTGCCAATGGTGTTGTTGCTTTCTATCTTCCAAGCCACATCTACCTTTCAGTACTGCTCGAGTCTGCTACGTGAAATGGTTGATGTTCTACATTTGTAAGAGCGGTACAACGCTGGCAAGGGAAGAAAGGCTAGCTGCGGTTCTCAGCCGCCATGCTCCCGCGCGACGTCAGCGGTTGATGCTGGGTCCACCCACGATGCCGAGCCCCCACAATCTGCAAGTGCGGACGGGCGAACTAAAAAGCAGCCATCCCGCCTTGGACACTGGCGATCCCGATCGACTCTAGGATAGCAAAATATAAAGACGCTGTGCAGATTTTAGCATCATACCATCTTATAAACATCATATCAACATGGAAGAGCAAGTAGAACGCCTCGTGAACAAGGTTTGGGGTACATGACACCGGACGCCAGGTTACAACACACGCATTGACCTGGTTATAGACAAATATCAAGATGTTCCTGCGTCGAAGCGATTGCTGATTGCAGTATCTGGCATTCCAGGGTCTGGTACGTACATACATGGCAAGTTTGACTCCCCAACCAGCTGACCACCACCACCAGGTAAAACAACGCTCGCAGCCATAGTTTCGACCAAACTCAACCAGAAACATGCACAACAGTCGCCGGGTACCGCCAACAGTAATCCACTAGCAGCCTTCATACCAATGGATGGCTTCCATCTATCACGCCAACAGCTTGATGCAATGCCAGATCCAGACAGCGCACATGCTAGAAGAGGCGCGGCTTTCACGTTTGATGGCGATTCCTTCTACAGCCTGGTGAAGAAATTACGAGAGCCTATATGTCCAGAGAGTTCAACTTTGTATGCACCCAGCTTCGATCACGCGCTCAAAGACCCAGTCGAGAACGACATTGCCATCTCGCCATCCGTACGCATCGTCATATTCGAAGGCAACTACTGCTCATTGGATAAGGCGCCCTGGAACGAAGCAGCGAAGCTCATGGACGAGCTCTGGTTCGTGGATGTAGATTTCGATGTTGCGCGGAAGAGGTTGGTTCATCGTCATGTCAAGGCTGGCATCGCCAAGAATGAGGAGGAAGCGCGAAAGAGGGCGGATGAGAATGACCTTGTGAACGGGCAAGAGATAGTGGACTTGAGGCTGGATGTACATGAGTTGATCAAGAGTGAAGAGGACCGCCATTGGGCACCGGAGCAACAAGGTGTCGGAGACGGGGAGGATGAGGGTACTAAAGGCGGGATGGCAGGCCGGGTATGATGTGATCATTGAAAGTGAGGCATAGATTTTTACATTACTAGTAGCTGACTTCTAGTTGTATTTGATACAAAGTCTACACTGAAGGTGTACACTTGCGACATGCTGCAAGTACCTTGAAAAGAATTACAGCGAATACCTTTCGTTTGCCCCTTTGTTATATCTTGCGCTCAGCAACTACAGATCGTTTCTCATACCATGCCCAGGAAGTAGGCTTCTTGCACGTTTTGTAGTACTGAACATCGCGGCTGTCCAGGGTTTTCCAAGATACGGATCCACCAGTACCAATCAGCCTCACTGCGCACTTCTCGGCCTCACCCATGATCCACAACTGCTTAGGATCTGTCTCAGCCTCAATTTCAATCTTAACTTTGCGAAATCTGCCATTCCAGTGTTCTGCCCACGCATGGATGAACAAATTGGCCTCGTCCGGCATCAAGGCGTACCGGAAGCTTGTATAACTCCAAACCAGCTCCAAACACGCGTTTTTGAGAGACAAGTCATTCATTAGCTTGAGGAAAGGAATGATCAGGTGTTCGCCGAGGTACTCCTTCGTGTTAAAGACCAGGTAGCGAAGCTTGATGTTTCGTACGCCATCGTTAGTGAAGATAAGTGAATTTGGTGCTCCCGCGAGTTCTCGTTCAGGTCCAGTTATCCGCCCAAGTGGCTGGAAAGTGAAGGTCCATGCAATTAGATCCAGGACTTCGTAAAGCACCTGTCGACTAGATAACATCCAGAGTGGAAGACCTCGACATACTGGTTTCGAGGCCTCGATGGAAACTTCCGGATTGTGTGTCGCAATGACCATGAGTTTATCCACGCGAAATGTAAGAGGTGATTCTTCGAGAGCCTTCGTGTAGATTTGATCTCGAATCTCACGAGGGAGACTTAGAAGCGCGCTTCCATGCTGAGAGGTGATCTTCGAGAGTGGTGGACGAGACACTTTGCTTGATACTTGTAAGCGTTTGGAGGTACGACTGCCTTTTGCTGGTGATGCAGCGCGCTTCTTAGACGGCGGGTTCCGGTTGCTAGTCATGTCGTCCTCTATGTTTCAGATGTGGAATACAGCTAAGGCGGCTGTTGTCAAATTGTCGACTGAGCGAGATGTGAGTAACCAAGTTGATCGAGTGGTTGTGGTAAGCGCGGATATCGGCTGTAGATTGATTCGGGTTTATAACGGACAAGAGAAGGCAAGGCGAAATGTTATATGCGAAAGAGAACCGGTAATGATGCTAGCAGCGCTCGTGATTATGGGCACGGTCTTCTTTCCATAGTGAAAAAAAAAGGAGTAGATAAAAGTCTTCAGCTTCATTGAATTGCTGCCTAGGTTCTCACGCTTGGAATCGAGACAGTACTATCGCCGTATCAGTTTGAGTAAGCTGAAATGAAGACTATATGTCCAATGTCGTTGAATACAACAGCGGAAATTGATACATCTCAGAAACCACCGAGTCTATCTAGGAGCTCACTGGTTGATTGCACAAGGCTCGTGGCAATGACCTCTCCAAATCTTACGTTCAACCAGCAGAGTCTTCACCCAAGTGTTGAGTTCACAAAATTTAAGCCGTAAAACCGAAGCCTCTTCTGTCCAGCAGAATTTCACTTCACCTTCCCGTGCCTTGCCAACAAGTCTTCGCGAGCACTTCTCAGCAAGTTCCATCATCCTCGGCATCATTGTTCGATCCCTTTCAGAGTACTCGATAGTAACGCTCACCTCGCGGAACCAGCCGTTCCACTTGGCGACAAAGCAATCAAGAATCTCTTTCTCACCTTGTAGCCAATTGACACGATTGGATCCGAAGTCTCAATGTCCATCAAGCCACGAGCGTCTCCATCTCAACTGCAGACACGAGTCTTTGCAAAGTCCATGATAGATTAGGTTAAGCCGCTCACGGTCACGCTCTTTCTGTTCGCCCAAATCAATCCCAATCTCACGCTCGTCGGAACCCAGCATAAACCAAGCGTCGCTGCCAGGTTGGAAGGTAAAATTGCTGATTCTGCCTCTGGCACCGTAAGTAAGTGTGTTCGGAGGCGGACAGAGATGCGTTTTGCAATACGTTTTACTAATTGGGTAGATTCGTTGTTGAGTTTTGAAGAGGTAGGTACGGAACCGGCGAAATACGTCCATTGCTTCGATCAAAACTTGTTTACAAGTCAGAATCCAGAGGAGTAGGCCAGTGAGTATGCCAGTGTTTCGGTCATACTCTCAGTAGGTGGAAGCGCTTGCGAACGCATAAGCTGAGATTTCTGTGCTGACGACAAATGAGCGGGCAGCATCTCCGAAGGCGTACTTGTGAATCTCATCTCGAATCTCCAATGGAAGATCAAGGAGTAGGTTAGGCGATGATTTAGAAACCAGCGTGACAAGGCCGGCTGACTCTAGCATATCTTCTGCGTGAGAAGGACGCGAAAATGAATAGTGACTGTGTGTTCTGCGGTATGTTCAGTCCGCCTCGTGATGGAGTTAGTGTTAAGTCGAGCAGCGGAAGTAGAATTTGTTGGTGTATGCGGGAAGCTCCAGGGCCTATATAAACCCTACGGAGGTGGAGTGATTTCGTAGCGTTTATCTGGTCAGTGCTGCGTCCGGAACACCTACGTTGAGAATGAAAGTCGATATTTGTCTGAAGATTGATACACAGAATCCAATCGCCGGCTGAGCGAAGGTTGTGCGCTGCAGCACTCACCCATTGCGGCTTTCCACCACAACATACCTTGTCTGCATCTTGCATTCGTCTTTCTTGAACCCTTCATCGTCTTCTATATCCTTCTCCTTCCATCTCATACTTGTCTCACCCTTGCCTTTCTCACCAACAAGCCTCTTCGCAGTCCGTTCCACCAAATCTGTCGCCATCCTCCCAGCAAAAGTTTTACTAGGCTCACTTCTTACTGTAACCTTCACACGTTCCAATTTACCAACCCATTCATCCAGAGTCTTGCTCCTAACAACCGGTTGGTCACCAGGAACTAGTGTACCAACATCGTAGATCCAGTTCATGTGTAATTCCCTGACACCCGTGCCAGCCTTATGCAAGATGTTCAGCATCGCCTCATCAGCAGGCCAAAGTTTGATTTGCAACAACTGATGATCTCGCAACCTGTAAGTTCCTGGGAGGGACCCCCGTTCATTCGGCCTCGTGTTGACATACAAACGTGAGCACCGCACGAGGTTTATCCCAGTGGGCAGTATTGCGTCTTCGTGTTCGGCTTGCATTTCCAAATCTACATCTTGGATCCAACTTGGTGTTGCGCGATCTAGCACCACTGTTTTGATAGCCTCGAAGACTAACCGGTTTGGGATATCGGTTTCTTCTACGGTCTTCACTTGCTGGATTGTAGATAGTGTGGAAGAGGTGAACGCGAATTCTCTCGACAGCAAACTCAAACCTTCTTTTAGCATCTGTCTGCATGTCGATAACCAGATCGGCAAGCCTCTTTGCCGAAGTAACAATTTGGACAATCGGTCATGAACGATACTTTTGGGTATGGCAAGGATTGATGTCGGTGGGGTACAAGAAATCGAGGCTTCGATTGTTCGAAAACCCCAAGAGTACATGTAAATGATATCGCGCAACTCAGCTGGGAGGGAAAGTATCAGGCAGAAGGTCGAAGACGAGCTCAAAGAGCTATGCGTGGTCCGGTGTTGAGCCATGCTGTTCGTACAAACGAGTGCAGTGATGTTTCCACAAAACTGCTCAAAAAACTAGACGTTTGGTAGTTTTGCAAAGACGACTGAAGATAAGAAGGCACGCAACGTCCCTATGGATGTACATATACGTGTGTTGGGATAAGGCACCAACGATCACGTGGTCTAGCGCCCTCACTAGCGTACCCTGCTGACAGTCACGAAGTCGTCACTTTGCAACAAGCAGACAGCGGTGAGTTTTCCAGTATTCATATTGCTACGATGTCTTCTACTCAAATACGCATACACGCTTATAGCCGTGAAAGATGGGAGTCTGGTTGATTGCGAGATGAACCCGGAACAAGCTCCAGTCTCAGCAATCCCAACCATCCTCTGTCAAGTTTACTACACAAGAAGTGAAGAATGTCCTTGTGCTCGACAACTTCATACCCAGGGAGATGTTGGCCGTAAGGCGTTGTGGTGCCGATACAAAGGCTAGGCCGCCATCAAAGGCTCTCCGGAACGCCGCATCCGACTCCGTAAACGATGATAGGTTCAGGCCGTTCGAAGGTGCGTATAGATACATTTTGGGCACCGTCATCCAAGGTTGCGCCAAACGAGTGCAAGATAAGGGAAGCGCAAAGGTCTAGTGGCATGGGCGTGCCAGCTATGCCTTGACTGCGCCTCCCTGAGCCTCGCTGTTCTCGTTGTTCTCGAAATCGGAGGCCGATGTTTCACGGTTCAGGCTGGTCTCGCGGTGCAAGAAGGTGTGTTCCTTGACGGGGCTACCTGCTAGCTCGCCCTGACCGCTGATGCTGCCATTTCCATGGCCGTTGCCGTTGCCGTTGCCATTCTGACCGGTTGGGGTGGGCGGGGCGATGTGTGGGATCTTCTCGGGGTTGGGGTGCTCGCGACCAACTTGGGTGACACCGACGTCACCAGCTTTGCCAGCCTTGGAGAGGGCGTAGTCGCCGCTGTCGAAGTACTTGCGCTCCTGCAGCGATCGTTAGTAGGAATCCAGTACTTCGCAGGCTTGACATACCTTCAGCTTGTTCTGGAGCAGGTCCTTCTTGTTGGGAAGCTTGCCATAGAGACGGAAGAGTTTGGCCTCCTGCTCTGACATTTTCTGAACCACCATGTTAGCTGCTGAGCTTTCCAGAAACGTGCAGGGAGTATTGTGACGTACGCTGACATCGACCTTGTTCTGCTGGTGGGGGTTCATGTTGGCGATTGTAGAGGGTTGTGGTGTTGCGGATCGCAAGTGACGTTCTTTAGAGGGGCAGCTGCTCGCGAAAGTCGCCGTGTCGTGTCGAGGCTTTGTTGTGTGATGGATAACACGAAAAAGGGTCAAAAGGTCGCAATTTGTTTAAAAGATGGTTGTCGTTGGCTCGCGCTGACCACTTTGGGCGAGTACCGTTACCCGTTATGTGACAGGGACAGGGTGAATAGACGTGATTGATCCGGCTTCCAGCGCTGACGATTGGGTGCCGACAGAGCTCGGGCGTAGGTCTTTGCTGCTGCCTGACAACACAACAGCGTTGACGTGTTATGACTCGTTTGGTTTATCGTTCAGGCGTTGTTGAAACGACAATGTTTTGGTGCAAGTGGGAGGAGTGCCCCTCTATCCAGTCGACTATGCGATAAGCCTGGATCGCCCGAGGTTCCAACGGCCCGGGACGCTGCACGATGCGAATCAAGCAACAAAGCGAGGGATCGTGATGACGAGAAGAGCAAAGGATTGAATGTGTACAACAGTAGTAGAGTGTGCAGAGGATTGTGAGTGATGTAATAGACTCGAGCGTTGTTATTCTCTCGACTTGCTTCGCACGAGGGAGGTTGTCAACCAAGGAGGGGTAGATGCAGTGGATATGTAGGCAGGCGACGGGTAGGCCGATTTAAACAATCACCAAGACGTGGCTTACTTGACGGGTGAATTGACGCAGCAGACACAAGGAATGAATGGCAGAGCAGCCGTTTCCGCGCGAAAAGTGTAAATCTTAGCCCTTGCGCGCGTTGGTCGGATGCACGTTGGATTGCCGTGGACCTTACCAGACTCAGCACCCTCACAACGTCACGCGTACACATCATTGGCCTCCTAACCTCCTTGATCGCCAGGGCCCATCTCGATGAGGCTTGAATTCTTCATTTTCCGTGCCATTGGCGTGTGTGCGTAATGTCGTCACATGGAACACGCCTCGCAGACTGCTTGGATTGAATCACGATGCACTTTTTTTATCTTGCAACTACGAAAGCATGCTTCCCCGCTTACCATGATAAATAGTTGCTTGAGCGTGATAGGCTGCTTGAGTGCGCTAGCTCTAGACTTTATCAAACCCTGACGGTCAGCCATGCTCCCCACCACCACCTACTCTGATTAGCGAGATACTACTGCAGGGCTTCAAGGTTCTCACCATCGATCCAGAATTCGGGAAGTAAAACACAGCATCCAAGCTGAGGAACATCCCACACAAGCGCCGCCCGTTGGCCAATTCGCTTAATTGTTGCAGCAAAATCTCACACCAAAAACAACACAAGACCGGAAACGCATCCCGCTTCCAATCGTATTAAGAATGGCTGGCACCGGCAAGACCTTTGCAGTGGAACATCTGGACCCTGAGCTTGAGGAGTGGTCTTCTCTGGAGTACGCCAGCATCGCGGCAGAATCCCATGAGTCTGGTGCACAGTTCCTGCTGTCTTCCGTACCGACGTCGTTGAAATTGCCCGCAAACCTACAGGGTGCAAAGGGACTCAATGTCGAGACAAGAGGTATTGAAGAAATCTATGCGGACAGAAAAGACAAGGTGTGTCTGCTGGACCCTGCCGCATCCAAGGACTTGAGCCCAGAGGACGGCGAGACATTCGACATCTTCTTATTCGGCGGTATACTTGGTAAGCATCCGTGCTCATCCAGACAAAGCTGTACGATAGAGAGAAAGAGCTAATTCCTGATCAGGAGACGACCCGCCAAGAGGTGTGTGAAACCGGCAGTGCTATGCGAAATAGCAACAGTTGATTAACGTACTCTCCAGACCGTACTTCAGAGCTGCGCAAGAAAGGATACCAAGGACGTCGCTTGGGACCTGTACAGATGACGACCGACACAGCAGTACGTGTCACCAGGATTTGCGTGCAGGACAAGGGTGAGTCGAGCAACCGGATGCTGGTGTAAGATGCTGACGAGGCGCAGTACCCGTCGACAAGATTTCGTACATCGATCATCCCGATCTCAAGATCAACAAGAACGAGAGCACACAGATGCCATTCCGTTATGTCAAGGATGAAAACGGGGAACCAATCATGCCCAAGGTGAGCAGACTGAGCGATTTGATGCGTCAAAACGCAATGTTGACAGGATGCATAGGGAATGCGTGAGCTGATCGTTAAAGACTCGGCCAAGAGCTTGAACGATCTCTTTTGAAGACCAGTAATCAATATGCCATAAGCATCCCATCTTTACGTACCAGCGGTATGGGAGATGAGCATGCGCCACTGTGGCACACAGTCATCAACGATCGTTAACATGTACCGCTTCCGGGAATCCCAAAAAAGCATTGTAAGGATGAGAAAGGGGTCCGCGGTGTAGTACTAGGCGGGACTCTAGCTCTCAGTCGGGGTATTGACCAGACGGACCGATGTGGATGCTATCATGCTCTAGAACGACTTTCACGTTGGTGCAGCATGACGGCATAGAGAAGTTAGTGCTAGATAGTTAGTAGTCTGTAGTCCAAAAAGTTATTGCCAGCCCGGCCGAACCTTAGGAAGTGGGATCAACCATTGCATGCGAATATCGGCAGCTAGGGACGCGCGGACACGCTCAGTGGTGTGCATATATTCGGCAAAGTCGCGGCCTGAGGACGGAGCTGACACATGGTTGAAGCATGAGTGAACGCTCAATCGTGTCAGATCGCATGCGCGATGCGCGTTCTCGAGACGCGGAGAAGGCAGTAGCCGGAATGAGCCTTGTGTGCTGTGATTGGCCCTACGACGAAGCTTGGACAGCACCCCAAAGACGTACCTCAATAGCGATATGGACTTATTATCCATGTCAATTAACTTTCTGCAATTCATTTTACATGTTCAACATTCAGGCTATTCGCTGAAACTGTCATTCACTTTGTGGAACGCTCGCGTGTCTTACGTCTCACGATCTACTGTCAACAGGCCCCTGGTTCTGGATCCCAACTCGGACTCGTCAGCCGCCCCAGTAGCCACCTAACCTGTATCTTTGAAGTCCGAACTTCTCACAACATCAGCGCCTATACCTTACACTGTGCCAGGCTGTGCATTCACTTCATCTTATTTTAGCCTGCAGCAGCTGCTCTTTCCACCTCTGGAGTTCCCATGATATAGCGACTGCGCACCGCATCCTCCGC